CAGGTATTTGTGTTCAACATGTAAGAAGTAGAAAGTACAGGTATTTGAGTTCAACATGTAAGAAGTAGAAAGTTCAGGTATTTGTGTTCAACATGTAAGAAGTAGAAAGTAGTCAGAAAAATAAGTAGTGGAGTAAAGTACTGATACCAGAAACATGTACTTAAGTACAGTAACGAAGTATTTCTACTCCACTACTTCCTACCTCTGTTTGTATGCATGGTCCCTGTTTAATAAAGACATATAAATGCCATTGCTCACCAGGTCTTGGAGCCGGTCACACTGTAGGTGCCGCTGGACGGGTTGTACTTGGCTCTGGTCTCCATGCCGCTCGGGTCACTACCGTGGTTCGGCTCCGTCAGACCAAAACATCCCAGGATCTCCCCCCGAGCTGCGAGGAGAGCACAACATCATTATGTCTATTTAATGGCTGAGGCATTAACTCTGGAACTCCCTTCCCAGCCACACCCGAAAGGCCAACACTCTTCTTTAACAGTTTTCATTGAGATTTCAAAATCTGAAAAAATATACATTCAATAGCATTGCATGAAAGGCCAACACTCTTGAATCCTTCAAAGAGATCTCTCAAAACTCACTTATTCACTCTAGCTTTCAAACTCTGATCAACATTTTGGACCCCATCTGTAACCCCACTACACATAGAGGACTTTAAGCTGGGACTGTAAGCTATTTGAATTAGGGATGCCAGAAACTGATCATGATCAAATTCGAAAATCGGACAGCCCTGGCGAATATTAATCGATTATTCGCCGACATAAATAATAATAAAAAAATATATAAATAAAATCGACTTTTAAAAATAATTTTCGATTATGGAGACTGTAACGAATATTCGAAAAATCGAATAATCGCTGGCATCCCTAATTTGAATATCCGTCCATGACTCTTACCCAGCCTGGGGAGGTACTTCTGCTTCTGCTCCTCTGTGCCGTAGGCGTTGATGGGATGCATGACGAGGGACGACTGCACGCTCATGACGGAGCGATATCCGCTGTCCACTCGCTCCACCTCTCTGGCGATCAAACCGTACGCAACATAACTCACACCGGCACATCCAAAACCTTCACATCACACACAGGAAGAGGAATAACGTCAGGGTGTTGGAAACAAACTGATACAAGTCCAGAGCCAACTCAAGACACCATTATTCATTTAGGTCATTATTCAAGTGTATTTATTCTTGTTTTATTCAGTCCTTCTGCTGGTATCTTTTATTCGTTATTTTTTTCGTGAAGTGAGTTATATAATAATTATGAAAAGTGCTGTATGAATAAAGTTGGAAGTAGTCATAGTTAAAGATTTCTCCAAAACAAACAAAGCCCTCAGGTCCAGTGTGCCTACGACCAAAGTCCATTTGGGACAATTCAGTTCTTTCTGTGAGAGAAATGTTCCAGATTCACATTATAAGAAACTGTTTGTAAATGAAAATAAAAAAATTTTTTTTCTTATTGAATAAACTTTTAGGTGTGGTTTTTCTGTGTTAGAAAAGTCATGTCAGTTATTTTTCTATTGTGTTTGATGATTCATTGATTCATTTTTTGCATTCTGTGATTTAGTCTTTTGTGTTTTAATGTTGGAAATGAATAAAGGCAGGTAAACATTTTTTTTTAAAAGCAGGCTGAAACGTTATAGCTCACAACACAATTCTACAACACACATCTATGGACCATTAACTGTGAAATCTAATTGACTCACCTTGTATGGTTGGGCCCAGCACGCCCATCTCTCCCATCTCTGACACGATATCTCTGTGGAACACTGGAAATAAATAAAACACACAATCAGCAGTTGTATGACATGAAGTGCAACAGAAGATACGCCGTTTTATTTTGAGCAAAATCATTTTTTTTAGCTAATTCCTATCTTTAATTATATGTGGCCGTGGCTCAGTGTGGCTCAGTGTGCTGGACTTCGAATCAGGGGATAGCAAGTTCGAGTCCCACTGCAGTCAGCATGTCGTTGTGTCACCTCAAGTTGCTCCTGTGGGGATTGTCCCCAGTACTGAATGTGTGTAAGTCGCTTTGGATAAAAGCGTCTAACAAATGACGTGTAAATGTGTACAGAATATATTCGTATATTCCAAAATAAGAGCTTTTTCGTCACTAAAATGTGTTTTTTCCTATTAGGAATCATATAAGCAGGGCCTCAGGTCTCTGCTAGGTGACGATCATCAGAAAGGAACAGCTGTGACGTCTATCTTAATCTTCTATTTATATTATCTTTAAACATTCCAGAGGCCACAAGACTGTTAAACACCTGAACTAAGAACATCCATAACGTTCACCTATTTACCTGAATATACACTCTTATGGCACTACTTCTATTCGATTGTATTTACTTGTATGTATGTAATGTATGCACTATTGTATCTGGGACTTCAGATGTTCCTCAACTGTAGCTCTGTACGAATGACAATAAAAGCCTTGAATCCTTGAAATGGTGCCCTTGGTTTTGTTTGTTGGACCCGAGACATGTTTTGGCTAGAGGTGAACATGTTATGAGTCTCTGACCTTCGTTTCTGTTGGCCATCAGGATGCGAGGCATGAGTTTCTCCTGGCAGTAGGTCCTGAAGGAGTCTCTGATCATGATCTCATCCTCCGTCAGCTGGCCCTCCAGGTTCAGAGCATCGCGCCAGTCAAACTGGACCTTCGCTGACAGATGTTAAGAAAAGGAACAATTCAAAAACCTTCAAACCATAGTTACAAATATGTTCCGGTGAGAGCTTCAAATTTAATGTAGTATCTACAGTAGATTTCCCTAATAAGGAGTTAGTAACACCTACGTGCTTTAGGCTTCTTCTCAGTCTTCTCTGCTTCTGTAGAAATGTAAAACCAGGAAAGGATTGATATTAAGCAAGTAACGATAAAACACAGTTTCCCTGAGAACAATCACTATGAAACAAAGATATCTCATGTTGTCAGTACCCCAGTTGGCCTGTGCTGCAGTTCCCTGTGATCTGGAAGCTGAGAGGACGGCACATCTGTGAGGAGAGACCAGGAGACGGCACAGAGCGTTTCTCAAAGCCATGATGAAGAGGAGCCTGTAAAAGAAACATTTATATACATTATAAACTGGTAACTTAAAGTGCAATCCTAGAGCTTGCATTGGAAGTGATGGCAGTGACTTTCACAGTGTGCTAACATATGCTAAGTAGGAGCAGCAAGGTTCTGTTAACCCTGAACCAGTGAGTGACTGTCAGTCGTGGGCTGGTGGACCAATCATTGAGATTAACTTATGTAAAAGTAATAATAGCACAATGTAAAAAATACATTTTATTAATAGTAATACAAAAAAATCATTGTAGAAAAACCTACGTTCTTTTATGTAAACATCTGTACAATATATGTGTAAACTAACTACAAACTAAAGCTGTATAATAAAAGTAATATCCATTTATATTGCAGTGGAGTTGAGGTATAAAGTGGCATGAAAAGACAACACTCCAACAAAGTAAAAGTACCCACATTTTGCAAAAGTATTTTCTTTTTACTAAGTTACATTCGACCACAGGTGAGTGCATAGTCAATACACTTGTTATTGACTACAACAATCAGTTTGCTACGAAAGCAAGGCTTGAGTTACAACTGTAGGTAGGAAGATAATACTAGCTGGTGTTTCTAAATGTCAGTAGTATAAAAGCGGTTTTATTCTGTATTACTGTATTCTCTAACAACCTCTGACAGTGCTAAGCTAACCTAGCTCAGCTAACCTGTTCGGCCTCAAGTGACATTATTGTAGCTACAAGCTAACAGTGCTACCTCACGAAAGGTCGCTAATAACTTTGCTGTAAACGACATAATATCCAAATGTTCAGGGTAACAATGTGCTGTACTAGCGCTGTTTGTTAAATAAAGCAGTAAAAAATGTGTTAGTGTTTGTATAAGGAGTATTTACCTGTGTTTAGTGGGACAACAATCCTTTTTCTGTCTCCTCTGTTATGCCACTGAGTTATATAGCACAGCGTCAAAATATAACATGACGTCATCACGCAAAGCACGCAAGACTGTTCGTGCTGCGCCATCATTGTACCATGTGCCTGAGATCAGCCTATGATCAACTTTTATCTTATATATTCAACCTCTGTGAAGTCAATACATTAAAAAACTGAGACTTAAATATAAACGTATACATGATCTTTGTTGTTTTGGGCATCTATTATCATTAAAGATGGCTGATTGATTTTAAGGGATAGTTCACCAACTGCAGAGGAATCTGATTGGCTCTCCAGCAGAGGCGTGTTGGATGTTGGAGGAGTGGATTTCTGTGGTTGTCTTATATTCCAGTTCCCAGAATAAAGGCAACTCAGTAACAATATCCCAATAGGTTCAGCCACTCTTAGTCATGCTCTAGACACAATAACACAGCTAATTCAGTCGTTTGTATAGCAGTACTCCTGTGTACTGTTTGATGTCACCTTCACTTTGTTTACACTTATTCATTTAGCTACTCATGGACGAGCTGTCTGAGCATTTTTAAAGTTTCAATGAAGGAGGCAAATAACATTTAAGATTTGTTTCTTAAATGCAACCATCTCAATCTCAATCTTTATTTATTTATTTAACCATAATGCAAGTGAGAGCATGACAATACATTGCCAGAAGGGTGCAGCATTATACAAAAATAGACCTAAAATAGGACTAAAAGTGTTTTTCAAGGTACTCAAAGACACTGTAAATGTTCAGGGTAAAATGGATACAAAAAAAGGAAAAAATATACTTTACAATACCCAATATAAATGAGAAATTAAAAGAATTAATTATTTTTTTGTTACCAGCACACAAATCCTCCTTATGTATACATAAATACAGTTAGCTTACTCAACATGATACATTACTGTCCAACAGTCACTAAAATTAGCTCCATCTGCACCAGCAACAGAGGGCTCTCTCGTGTTAAAGGGGAACCCTTTGATCTCACCTCTTCTCCTCGGCAGTCAGATCAGGGAATGTCGGGTCTGTACGTTGAATTATGAATAGATTGCATTATATATTTAATGTTGTCTTGAATTTCATCAGGGCCATAGCATTGATTTGGTGCACTCTGCTGATTAAGACACATTTTCTCTGTGAATGAGTCATAATTGACAAACACATGTTACAGTATGTAGCCCTCGTTATATTTAATACAAAAATTAGAATATTTAGACAGATATATGCAACACTAAATTGTAAAAAATACTGTGTTACAAATAAAATAACTGCATTTTACATCTTACTTAATTAAAAGTAGAGATGTATTGACATCAATATATACTTAAAGTACCACAATTCATGTAATCGCACTCGTTACGGCCCATTTCTGAATCATTTGTAATAATTTACTGGATTTAGGTATTGATGCAATAAAGTGCTCGCACAGTATTTAAAGGTGGAGCTATTTTGACTGACTGTATCTAGTGCTAGATCTTATCTAGATATTTAACCTATAATTATATGTCAATATGTTCATTTATTAGTTGATTTAGATTTTGTATTAGCTTATTATCTGAACCTGTAAGGTATCTGAAGCAGTCAAATAACTGTAATGAATTACAAAAGTACCATATGGGCTGTCAAAATGTAGTTTAAAGTAGCATAAAAATTCTAAATTGTACTAAAATAGAGTATTGGAGAGTAAAGATACTGTATTACATTGCACCACTGGTTATATTGCAGCTCATTGGACATTTATGCCTATGCCAGTGAACGGTAGGAATACAAACTCCCACCTTCGCTCACTGATTGGCTAAACGCTTTGTCAATCACTCCGTCTTGCGTTCTCATTGGTCCTCACTCTTCTCTAAGGAATGCCCCTTTAAATGTTAGCAGTACCGTGAAGATTTTGAAGCGGACTCCTTCTAAGTGTTCAAACTGACTGAAGCGCCTCACTAAAACCTCATTCAAAACTGGAAATATGTTGTAGTTAGCCGTCCTTTTTAAGCTCCTTTTGCCCAGAAGAAACACTCCGGAGTCATGGAACTGGAGGAGAAACCGAAATATGGTAATTATTTAAAATTCAAAGTCCACAACTCGGGACATGCTTTAGTTCATTTTGCCACTCAAGACTTGAACTGTAAACAAGGCTCTGTTTGGCGCATACATTACATACTAATCGTTTTGTTTCCGTGTTTACATTCAGGCATGTTTTCCTTGTTCACTTTTTATGGTCCCACTCTGGCTCAGCTGGCACTACTTTATCTTGTGAACTTAAATATTAACCAGTGGAGGAAGCTAATGTAGTCCATGTACTCAAGTATTGTACAATCACAGTGGTGGAAAAAATACTCAGATCGTTTAAAATAAAGCTACATGTGTTGTGTTGTGTTATTATTAGATTATATTATATTATCCTATTTCTATCATTAGAAAATACATATAACAGTTTTTGTGATGTTGTAATTCGTCAATATGGAGCACATTTTGGTAAATACAATCATATAAACACATTTTTTTATGTTAAAAGTACCTACAAATGGAGTAGAACATGGAAATACTCAAGTAAAGTAACCCCAAATGATACTTAAGTACATTACTTGAGTAAATGTACTCAACAATTCTGAGCTAATTGTACTTTCTCTGAGTATTTTGAATTTAATGCTACTTTATACTACTACATTTTTGGAGTCAAGATAGTACTACTTCTAACTCCACGACATTTATCTGACAGCTTAAGTTGCTTTACATATTCAGATTATTAATTAATACAAGATATACATCGACTAATAAATAAACAATGACATGGGATCATAGGTTAAGATATCCAGCAGCAGTATTTATTTTACTGTTTGGTACTTTTAGTGTATTAGGATGCTTTTTTGGATGATTTTGAAAGCATTCACATTTTAGTAAACAAAAGTATTTGCATCAAAATAATATACATAAAGTACCAAATATAAAAGTACTTGTTATGCATTATGGTGATGCAGTGTATTGTCAGGGTGCACAATGTCTCATGTGCTGGTCCAGTTGCTGCCACATTCCTCCGGCTGGTATGGCAGCACACGCCCAGCTATACATAGAGCTTATTAGAAAATACCTCAAACATGTGGTGAAGGTCTCTGTTTGTCACTTCATGCCTTCAGTCTTTCTTGTAAGTGTCATATTATCAATATTATACCTACTTTGGACCACAAACAATATCGATATATCTGTTTGCAGTAGTGGGATGTCTGACAATTACGGGCCTCATGTCTCCATGCTTTAATGTTCAAAAAGCTCTTTATTGTTCTCATACTACCTCTACCTATTTTCACCCTCTGTCTGAAACCAGAGCCCAGTCTGCTCTGATTGGTTAGCTGGCCGGCTCTGTTGTGATTGGTCAACCGCTTTAGAGATGTCCCGCCCCGTAGTCTATCACGTATAATGTGTTGGAGCGCTAGCCAATAGAAGTGTGTTGCAAAGTGATGTCACTATGTTCAAGAAGTAAACAAAGGAGTCTAATGGAGGCGTGTCAGGCAGGGCGGGGGAGTGTGTCAGAGAAAAACACAGGGATTTTAGCCTTTGCACACCATTTACATGCACTAAAACCTGTATAACACTCACAAAGCAAAAGGGAAAAGCCCCAAAAGCATAATAGTACTCATTTATTGGTCTTGGATTCTGTGATTGTCCCCAAATTCCTTTCGAAATGACTGTGGTTGGAGGCCTCTCCTTTTAAAGCTGCACACACATCAATATTCATCTCGAGGAAAAGCAGCTAAAAAAGTAGACAAGGATAGTATCCAGAACATGGTGTTTCAGAACATACTGTGGGGTTCGATATAGCTTCACATGCCGGAGTAATTTCAGACTGAGACATAAAGAGAAACCTCAATGACAGGATCTGAGCGGCCGGGCCTGGCTGCAGATTGGATGTAATTATAAGCCATTTTTAGTAGAGTGGTTGGAAACCCGAGTCCTCTCCAGCTCTCTTTTCATCGTTGTAAAAGCTTCTTTCAGAGACTTTTGCACATTGTCTTCATCTGTTTTCACCAGAAGAGGAGTGTAATAAAGTACATTTACTCAAGTACTTTATTTAAGTACATTTTACCTGAGTATTTTCATTTTATTCTACTTCTACTTCTCTGCATTTTGGAAGCGATTATTGTAATTTTAATGAGGTCATATTATGCTTTTTAGGGGTTTTCCCTTTCCTGTAACGCTTCCATTGGACTCCTTTGTTTACTTCTATAAGATAATGACATCACTAAGTAACACTTACATTTCTATTGGCTAGCGCTCCAACACATTGTACGTGATAGGCTAAGGGGCGGGACATCTCTAAGCGGTTGACCAATCACAACAGAGCCGGCCAGCTAACCAATCAGAGCACACTGGGCTCTGGTTTCAGACAGAGGGTGAAAAGAGGTGCTGCAGCACAGGCAGAATGAGAAAAATAAAGAGCTTTTTGAACATTAAAGCATGGAGACATGTCCCAGTAGAGACACTACATACTGATATACACCTGAACATCAGCAGGAGAGGACTCTTTAAAGTAGAGACACTACATACTGATATACACCTGAACATCAGCAGGAGAGGACTCTTTAAAGTAGAGACACTACATACTGATATACACCTGAACATCAGCAGGAGAGGACTCTTTAAAGTAGAGACACTACATACTGACATACACCTGAACATCGGCAGGAGAGGACTCTTTANCTAGCTCTGAATGGAGGGATGAGTCTGAGGCTCCTCATCTTCACTAACTCTGAATGGAGGGATGATTCTGAGGCTCCTCATCTTCTCTAGCTCTGAATGGAGGGATGAGTCTGAGAATCCTCATGAGTCTCAGGCTCCTCATCTTCTCTAGCTCTGAATGGAGGGATTAGTCTGAGGCTCCTCCTCTCTAGCTCGGAAGTCTTTTGCAACAAATGTGTTAATTTTCTTCATTATTAGTCGATTTGTTTAATGCAGACATATGTTGCAGGGACTACTAGAATCATCATACTGGCGTGACTGTAAACATCAAGGGGTTAAATAAAAAAAATGTATGTGTTTTAGAGGACATTTCAGAATATCGCGATATATATCGT